AATAGTGATGTCCATTTACGATCAGTAGACTCTGTGAGGTCCACAAGCTACTTCAAAAGCACCTGTGAAAGGTACAAATGAAATGCGAGGGGCTTAAACTCAGCAAATGAGGAATCACAGATTTACAGAAAATTTTTCGAGTCAATAATTTAGAAAGGATGAAAACCACTGTTCCAAAATATTTCCATGCCAGTCCACCCTGTGAGGGTTAATGGCATACATAGGAGTTCTGCTAAATGTCACAGTAGTTACTATGCTCTAATCCTGATCCCCAACCTACTGTAGCTGCTATAAAATATATAGTAATAATTTCCTGAGGCAGGGTAATGTATAAGGAATGTCAGACCAGGCTCTGGACATACTTGCCTTAGCTCTGTTTTATTAAAGTGAAACTTTTATTAAGGCATGTGGTGAATTGAGCAATCTGCATGATTCATGCAGTTATAAACCTATTGCTACACTAACAATAAATCAATGAGCCATTGTCACATGTTCACTGTAGAGTAGGCTAAATAATAAGGCTAAAAATCAATGTGGAAGTATTATTCAGGCATATGAAAGTATTAAAAATGTACTCTGAATATATTAAAAGCACCAAATAGTAGTTGAGCTAAGTTTTATTCCATAAACAAGTTTCCTTGTATGCAGGGTATTTATTTACTTATGGTCTATATAAGAGTCAATATAATTAAGCAAGTTAAATTACGTCTTTTGCTGAGTTATTTCTGATTGGAACACACTCTTACGATTCACACTGTTAAACTAAGGGCCAAGGCTCCAGCCTGACCTCTGCATACCCTCAGCTGTGCTGCTCAGAGGGAAACATGAGAAGGAACTACTCCTTCAGGACTGCAACTGTCATAGGAAGGTGCTGATTCATCACTCCGTTGATGACTGAGTTGCAAAGGGTCATTTTGGGTTGTGACTAAAAGGAATGGTTGTGGTTTCCCTGCATACCTTGATTGTCTCTCAGCCTTCTCTGAATTCTTATCTCCTTTGGGCAGAGCAAGCCTGTCTAGGGCATTAAGGAGGTAAGTGAGAGTGAAATAGATTAAAATTTCTCATTTCTTTTTTCATAAGAGAAGGGTGGAAATGGGTGAAAGATCGTTACCAGTTCCTGGATTGGGACAGTGATTGATATTGATTCATCATGCAGTGATCATGTAGAATACTGTCCATAAGTATCCTTGTTACTTAAAGAAAGAAACAAGCATCAAAATTCATCATGCTTTAGAATTTGTGTGTAAATTACACTGTTTCATGGTAAGAAGCAAAATATAGATATTCCAGTGTAAACTTATATGTTTTCTCTTTTCTAATAATATCATTCTCTCAGAGTTTATTTAGATTTTTTGAAAGGCTATTCAAATTAAATAATCAAAATGGTAATAATTATTTGTTGCCATTGTATTTTCAATGAGCTCCAGGAGCAGAAGCTTGTATCTTTAACATCATAAAGTGCCATGCTGAAATGCATTGCAATTTCTTTAAAATTACAGGTTTAATCAATGCAATGTAGATTCGTTTTCTCTATGTTTTCCCAAAAAACTGCTTTTGTTACTGTTGCTAAGACATTGGAAAGGTTGAACAGATTTCTGATCTGACCTAAGGGACAAGAGCTTACCTTCAAGGAGTGGAAAGATCTGTGTGTCCAAGGGATTAACAGCTGACTATATGACAACCCCTACTCTCCAAAATCATTCCCAAAATATGCTTTAAAATCTACAAACTATATACGTGATAATTCCCGTAAGGATAAATAGTCCAGGTCCAAAGGGGAGAATTGAGACTTTTGCCCAATTTTTCATATTCTATCATGTCAAACAACCATTCCCAGAGTATATTTCTTAATTGCAAAGCTGATCAGTCACAGACTTTCCTCGGATGGGTGAAAAATTGGAAGCAGACTGGCAGCACGTTTTTTGTTTCATTCCTCAGGAGATCAGGAAGTCAAGTGCACCATCCAGTGCTATCGGTCATCATGTAGATTTTGGGATTCTTTTTGGCAGGACTTTGGATCCACAGATCAACTAATGCTTTCCTTGAAATCATCAGTCTTTCTCATTGATTGCTGTAACAATAAGGAAAATATTTATTATTTATGTAAGGCAGTATGCTCTCAAAAACAGTTCTGAAATGGAGTTTAGCATGCTCAGGTTTATTTAACAACTGGTGGTTCCCAATACCAGAGGGAATCATAAATATGATGACTTGCTATGTGCAACTTAAAAGACTTTTGTAGGCATTGCCCATCACCAGTTCTACTCACAACCTAAATCATCGTATTCTAGCTCACAACAGTCTCCAGGTCTTAAGGTTACAGGTTAAAAGGATGCTCAATAAAACAGAATCATTGAATCAAAAAAATTGAGACCAACCTTTGATCAAACACCACCTTATCAACTAAACCATCCACTAAGTGTCATGTCCAGTCATTTCTTCAACACTCCAGGGACAGTGACTCCACACTTCCTCTTGGCAGCCTGTTTCTATGCTTGACAACCCTTTCTGTGGAGAAACTCTTCTGATATCTAACTGGAACCTCCCCTGGCACAGCTTGAGGTCATTTCCTCATCCTGTCATTATCACAAGAAAAAAATCACAAAAATTTTAAGGATTTCCTCCTTCTGGGAAGAGTTCAAATGCTCATGCAATCTTCTTCCACTTATCCTAGCCTAAGGAGGCCTCTGAAGAGCCATGCAGTTGGGCAGGAATAGCTTGAATGCTAAGAAAGGGAATAATAGAAGAAGGATTTGAACTGCCAGAACCTTCAGATCTATGCAGGACCCTGGAGCCAAATCTTTGTGATTCACTTATTAACTATGATACATTGAAACAGGTTGGCAGAGAGCTGGACAATATCCTTCTAACTTCAATCTCTGCCCAAGTTAATAGAACAGTGACCTTTCTGACATCAAACTCAAGATTTTTCGGTATATTTAGTGACAATTGACCACTGGATGTCACTTACATTGAGTAGAGCTGTAAAGATTACTTCAGCTAAGCTTTTAGGATAAAAAGACAAGCTTGTAAGTTCTGTGAATTTTGACAAATTTATTACTTTTTTTAGTATCGTTTTTCTCCATGTCTTAGATAATTCTTGGAGAAGATTTAAAAAAAAATCTATTTTTTCTGCTGTTAAATATGTTAATTAATAGGGAGACACAAATCTGAGCCTGCACTGATACTCTGTTTCTGCTGACATGAAAATTGTCATCAATCTCTTCACAGCTGAATAAAATTAGTGATGGACCTGAACCAAAAGTCATTTTAACAATACACTAAATTTCTTAAACCAAGATTCTACCCACAAACACTTCAAACATTCGTATTTTGGGAAAAGTTTCTCATTTTATTGATTTGCAAGTGATTGATATACCATAAGCTTTCAATGTGAATCAGTCTTTTCAATACCTAAACCACTTTTTAAAGTCGAACTTAGGCTCATAATTTATTGGGATGGTTTTGAAACTTACTTTTCAGCCTACTGTCAGTTAGACCTTTTAATTGGGTCTTGGCAAAAACTAGAAGCTGTAAAACTGTACAAAATGTGCACATTTCCTTCTAGGAACTCTGGGAGCTAAGGGTAGAAAGGCATTTCTGATAAATACCCTCACTGGACTGGAAGAAGAAAGAGAAGGACAAAAGGGAGAAATGTCTGAAGCAAGACAATGAACTATCTCTAATTATTCTGAGATAGCAGAAGTCACATTTTCATACCTGTGATGTTAGTGTATCTTTGCACAAAGACCTGCTTTCCTCACACCTCCAGTGGAGGACAATGTGGAAGCACACAGCCTAGTTGTGAGCAAATAACACTGGAATGAGAAACAGTAGGGTTGTATTAGCACGGCCTTGTATCTTGGAGTTGCTTTACTTTAGAGGGTAAAATCATTTTGAGACGTGGAAATGAACAGATGGAAATATCCTCCCCATTGCACAAGATGAGATAACAAGTCAGTGGTCAAAGCATATGCAGAATCCATCTCCTGACTCTTTGACTCCTTGGCTTCTGTATTAGATCAGAGGAATTATGCATTTGTACCACCCCTTTATTCGACTATTTGAGAACCATACAAACAGGTTTAATTTCAATACAACAAATGCCAAGCAGATAGAAATATATTAGGGTAAGGAAAAATAAGTCATAACTATTGGTAAAACTTTCACCTACACAGGTTTGTGGCTTAAAACTTTGGTTCACAAGAGTTAATGAAACTCATCCTCTATTTTCCCTTTGCAAGAACTTATTCTTTTTTAACCAACAGGCTTTGTCATGTTGAGGGTCAAACCACATTTTCCTTGGCCTGCACCTGAAATCATAACTCAGCATAGACTTTCTTCATCCAGCCTCAAATCTTTAGAATTGTGAACTCTGACAAACCCTTTAGAGAACCTGATGTAAGTTTCAGATTTGTAATGAAACTCAAGCCTGGGTGGGTTTTGGGTTTCATTACAAAAGTTCTGCACAGCTGCACTAAAAACTCAAACCAGGTTTCATAAAACCTTGAGTTCATACCTGTTGTATTTAAGCCAGGGAGTCACACTGGGAACTATATTTAATAAGTAAGAAGTTGTAGGAGTGCTGATGTAACTGTGTAAATTGTTTTTTAAAATACAGGAGATTTGACATGGAAACCCCTTTTAAAAATAGTGGAATACTTAATCCAGAACTGCTGTCCCTCTAAACCCAGCACATTACTTGACCCAGTGCAGTGCCACTCCTGAGAGAAAGGACTGCCAATGATCCCAAATTTAGATCTTGAACCCGTAACTATTCTGTAATTTTTAAGTATCATAAAAA